GTCATCTAATGTTGGTGGACTTGGATCTGCAAGTTCACTATCTCAGCCTTTGACCATTGGTTGAAATACTTGATATAATTTTTTGTGAGTTATTTTCTAAATTTAGTTTTCTCATTTAATGAAGTAATTATATATTATGTATTTATAAATTTTATTGTATATTTACAGGATTTGAGGTCTGTTTTTTTTTATATTTATAGACATGACATGTTGGAATATCAACTAATTATATATTTTGTGAGTTATTTCTAAATATATTTTTATTTTAATGTACTATTGATATATGCAAATTAAATTTGGTTGTCTTATGAGCTCAATCGTGGGCTATTATTGTATTAGACTGAAATACCTAACTGATACAATTTTTTGTGTATTTTCTAAATTTATTTTTTTCATTTAATGCAATATTTAGACATTATGTGTTTATAAATTATATTGCATATTTACAGGTTTGAAGATCCGTATTTTTTGGATATTTACAGACATGACATGTTAGAATATCAACTAATGATATATTTTGTGAGTTATTTCTAAATTTAATATTCTATTTTAATGTATTGATATATGCAAATTTAATTTTAGTTGTCTTATGTGTGTAGTTGTGGGCTATTGTATTTGCAATATATGTAAGGGTACACAACTTTTTGACTTTGGCAGCAACACCTCCTAATTGACTATTCTTAGGTAATTTATAAATTATAGTAATTCATATTGCATAATTTTTCATATTTTCAATTATTATTTTTTTTAGTGTCATATGTACATTTCTAATGTAAAAGCTATTTTGAGTGGCTATTATGTGGCATAATGACAATAGAATTTGTATTTTTGGAAGTTCAAGCAAAGTTTCTACATTTTTTTTATCTCATTTCTTTATACGAAGATTAAAATTTGCTTTATGTATAATGTTAGTGATATTAATAATATGTTAATGTATGATAATTAAGGAGATAGTTTAATTATGTAAATAAAATTGATGGTTTAAATGCTAGAATGATGACTTTGGTTATATCATTTATGTTACTGGTTTGATAATTTTGTTTATAGTACAGCCTTGTACAATTGGTTAAGAGTTTAAAAAGTGTCTCACTTGCAACTTCCACACAAAACAAGAGGTATAAAAATTAGTTCAAATTTATCTTTTTAAAGAACTTTTCAATTATTTTCTTCATATAAATGTTAATTTATAAGTATTTTGTATTCTTTTACAGGGTTTGGTTACTAGTTCCTAACTCAATGCTCACCACAGAATTCTCAAAAGACATGCTTTACAATTTTTGCTCAGAATTGGAGGAAGCAAACTTATTTTAATTTATTTTTTTAAGTTATTTTTTTATTTGATTGATCTCATGATTATCAAGTATCTATTGCTAGACAATGAACATATTATTTGAAAAAAATAACTTATTTTAATTAATTAGCTCAAACAGTTAATTATTTTTTAGTACTCACGTAAAGTTGCAAATTTATAAATAAATTGAAATATATATGTATAATCAGAAATTATGAGTTGTAAATATATAAACTTGTAAAATATACATGTATAATAAGGTTTTTGAATAATTTTTTTTATTAGGACTAAGTAAAGCAAATAACTATTTATTATTAAGGGTCTAAGATATATAAAAGGAAAGTTTACTTTATATTTTTTTTTATAAAATTTGCTTTTATAAAAAATAAAAATCACCTTAAGTATTCAAATAAAAAAATATACAAACCGTAAAAATTCACCCGATCAAACCGATTTTTTTTTATCCAACACCCAAATCAACCCAGTGAATTTATAATTACTTTCGGCCTAAAATATTTGTATATTTAATTTAATCAGTTCTGAATTTTTGAACCCGAAACTGACCTAACCCACCCGTTACCCACCCCTAGTTTTCCCATTACAAGAGAAATATCAAGTCCTATTAAGGAATCCAATGATTTTGGCTGAGGAAGATCATTGCACCAAAAGACTATTCCATTACAACCTCAAAGATCATTGCACCAAAAGGCTATTCCGCTACAACCTCTGGTCAACATCAATAGATCTAAGTATTCCTAAATCCTTCTATCTCTATTCAATAATCTGACGTAATGGTTCTTAAGTTTTATTTGAAATCTCATATAGTTCAAAGGGAAATTTCTAACACAAACACCCTCAGACTCTGCTCAAATCGTGCAATCCAGAATATATTATCGAAGATCACATTATCTCGGTCTTAACAGAATCTTCTACCCTAAAGTTCAACATATTACACTTTTTCATCATTCAACACATATATAAAAAAAATAGTAACTTATCCATAAAACTGTTTAACTCATTCTTACTTGTGACTATTTATGATAAACTTCATCTCAAGTGATTTTAAATGGATCAAAACCTCTTTTATACCAACAATCCATTTCAAACTTATATAATTTCAAGAAAACTTTATGGATTTACTTTTTAAAATAAGATAGCCCCTTTCTCTCAAGATTAATAAACATATTTAGGTAGAACCTAGGATTCAAGAGTAACTTTTCTTACTTGGAAATGGATCTCAAGAACTAAGTTTTTTGTGTGCTTTAGAGAGAAACTTTACGTCTCGACCACAAATACTACCCAAGGACTAGAGTTCTTCATAATAACACAAGGTAGATTACTATTATGAAAGAGAGAACAGAGAAATAAGAACAAGATTCAAGGGATGAGCTCCGAAAACTTACTTAGATTTGAGTAGAATGGACATTTGAGTTTAGATCTGAGGGAGATCCAGAGTTATTGGAGGCTTTCTCTGGGAAGGGAGAATGAGAGAATGGAGAGGGAAATATGATTTTGTTGAAAATGAAGTTTTTAGGGCAAAATTTCTTCAAATATCTCTCAAATTTGCGACTTTATCACTACAACGAGCAGCTCTTGCTACAACGAAAACAACAGATAGTATTCTTCCTTTGTTATCTGTCATTCTAGCTACAGCGAGAGAAGCCTTACTACATCGAGAATACTGTTGGGTCATCCTTATTCACTTCTCGCTACAGTAAGAGGGCTCTAGTGAGCCTGATTTTAGATGACTTGTCTTTCTACAGCGAGATATCCTGCATTTCACATCAATTAAACACTCTTAATTTCAAATAATATACACAAACAAAATGAGAGTGTTACAAATATCACAACAAATAATACAAACAAATTTGGAGAAGGACTTTTATAACCATCCCTCCAGTCTTACAATTTTACCTTAGAAATTATAACTCTCTACCCTATATACATTATAAGGTATCATTTTGAATAAAAAATAAATAAAATATAAAAATTACCAATGCACTGTAAAGTGGCAACTAAATGCTCCAAATTGATCCAATAACGCTCCTAATATAGTCCAAATCCTAAACAAATGAAATTTCTACCTATTAGTAAGACTAAAAGCTACAAACAATCATTAATTTAAAGAAAAAAAAATAAAACACCAAAAATAAAAGTCAAATTATAGATGAAAAAATGTCTATAATTCCATTAATAAAACATTTTATCTTTTTAATGCATTTATAGATAAAAAAATTTGTCTACAATAAGGTATATCATTTCTAAATATATCTATAATACAAAAAATATTTTATCATTTATAAATCTATCTGTATTTTGCTTATATATATATATATATATATATATATATATATATATATTTTGCTTGTTTTTAGTAATAATGTACGTATGTATATACATGAAATAGATGAAAGAGAATAACAAATATCTTACAATTCAATTAACTAACCTATAATTAATTGTTACAACTACTCTCATTTAATAAAGTAAATTCAACCTTTGAGCACGGTTAATAGTTTGTGAAAGAAAAAGGTTAAAAAATGAATAAGAATGTAAAATTTTAAACACATGAAAGACAAAATAGAAAAATTCAACAAATTAAAAGAAACAAAAATAACATGGTAATGTCTCGTTAAATGATTAATTGATTATGCATAGTAAAATATAATAAATTAAATACTAGTAATTTAAAAAGTAATTATGTATTTTTTATTTTATAGATAGGCGCATACAATCCTTTTATTTATTTTTTCTTTGAGCTTGCTTATTTAACATACTCAGATGAACAATAAAAAAATACATGCATGTCAAGGTAAAAATACATTAAATATATAAAAATAAAACATTAATATTACTCGAAGGCCATGCTAATCTACATGTTGCATTTCATTATTAACATGTTAATCAAATTGATAAAAATTTCATCATAAATAAATAATTTTCTATATTTTTTATTTGTCATTTTTAATATCTTTTTTTTTTTGTTTTAATATATGTTACTTTAAAAATTTGAGTAACATTAATTATTTTTTTTATCAATTCTCTTAACGTCAAAATTATAAGAAAAATAACAATTGTAATAAAAATGAAAAAAAAATTATTTCTATATTCACGTGTCAAAACTTTTAAATATAATAGATAAAAGGAAAGGGAGAAATAAACGTTGAGCTTTGTTGTATTCTTTTTATTTTATAAAGTAAATATTTAAATAGAAAAATATACGTATTTGTTATATTTGAAACATAAAAATATTTAATATTTTTTATTTAATAATTAGGGAGGATTATCAACATAAAAAATAGAAAAATTAGACTTGTTCAAATTTTTATTCTGTTTCACTAACTTTCAACTAGGGTTTTATTTTCTTAATAAAGACTATTTAAAAATAGAAAAAATTTAGATACAATATTGTTGGTGGTATTCGCTAAGTATTTTTAATGTTGTGTATCCTTCAAAATATTAGAATTTTCGGCTATTCAAATGTTGTACATGTCATTAATGTGTATATATAGATATTGATATTCCTCCCTTGTTTAACGTCCATCCCATGATCCTACCCCAGAAGGTAGGAGGAGGTTCTCAGTCGTCCACATTCTCTGGGCCTTTTCCTTGTTGCTGATTTAATTTCCAAGAAGTGACATTGCATGTGGTGTGGGTTGGCGATGACAGAAAGGTTTACAGAAGGAAATTATTTAGAAAAACAAGAACGATGAACAGCGATCTACACCGTTTCGCAGTCTCAACTCGCTTCAGCGGGTTCCCAAAATCCTTCTCTCTGAGAAAGAAGGTGCCATGGTGGTACCAAATCCTTGATCCAAGGTCAAAGTTCGTGGCGAGATGGAACCGCACGTTTCTCTACGCGTGCGTTGCGGCTCTGTTCTTAGACCCTCTATATTTCTATTTCCCCATAACGGGTGACAAAGCGTGCATGCAAACCGACTTGGTCCTTGGCGTCTTCGTCACCTTCTCTCGCACCGTCGCTGACCTCTTCTTTCTCTTCCACATGGTTCTTAAGTTCCGCACCGCTTTCGTTTCCCCTACCTCTCGCGTTTATGGTCGCAAAGAACTCGTCACTGATCCTCGTGCTATTGCCTCCCGCTACCTCAAACATGATTTCATTGTTGATCTCTCCGCCACCCTTCCTCTGCCTCAGGTTAATTTGCTACTATGCTATGCAATCATCCTAACAAGGTTTTAAATTGAAATTCTGGTTCCAATTACCGTTCTCTTGCAATTGCACAGATTTAAATTTTAGAAATCTAGAAGTGATACATGATAAAAAGAGAAATACAAAAACACAAGGGATATTACATAACTAACCGATATTACTGGAAAGTTTATAAAATCATAATTATCAAGGTTTTTTCCTGCATTTTAAAAGCTTGGCAATTGCCGTCGGATGACACATTTTTGTTTTTCTTGTACTCACTGTGCATTACGGAGCTTATTCTTTCTAAAGCAAATATGATGTTAATGTGATATTATGTATAATTATTTTTATTTCACACTTAATTTTTATTTTTTATGTATACATCCATTTCAAAAATATATACAAAACACAAAAATAACACTTTAAACGTTTACTTTTAGGTGTTCAAAAAATATTTTCTTTTAGAAGCTCAATGACTTTTTGCATTGGCATGATTTATTTTCCATGATTTCAATAATTAAAAAAAATAAAACAAGTAATGACAGAAAGACATTATGTTTGGTATAGAAAACGGATTTTTTGGCACACAAAAAATTATCATGTAGGAGACAAAAGTTTATTATTTAAAAGCTGAAAACTTCTCTATCGGGTTTCATTTGGCAATTGAGAGGAAGGGAAAAAGCAATAGAAAAATCTGATAGGTGATTTGGAATGTTAGAAACAGGGTATTAATCGGAACTTCTCCATTGACTAAAATTTGCCTTTTTCTTCCTTTCGTGCATGTAATTGCAGATTGTGATCTGGTTCGTGATTCCAGCAGTGAAAACCTCAACCGCGGCTCACGTAAATCACACCCTGTCCTTGATTGTTCTGATACAGTTCATTCCTCGGTTGTTTCAGATTTTTCCCCTGCAAAGGAGAATCTTGAAAACTAGTGGGCTTATTACCAAAACTGCCTTGGCGGGGGCTGTACACAATCTTGGGCTCTACATGCTAGCCAGCCATGTAATTATTCCTACATAGTTGTTCTAATTTCCCAATGTATAATTTAGAAATTAGTTACACATTCTTAATAGAAATGTTTTTGTTATGAAACCTTGGGTTTATCTAAATTACTTCCTAGGACAAACAAAGCTTTTATATGTGGACAACGTATTAAGTTATTTAACTTCTTATAAACAAAATTTCATTAGTTTACCTGAGATGAAGTTATTTACCATAAGTTAAACAAACCCTTAAATTTTATATAGATCCCATTAAAATACATGAGCTACTTTCCTTCAACAGTACCATATGAAATTTGATAACAAATATTTGCAATGGGATGCAAATGGCTATAACAGTTTTATTTCAAATATCGTGTTGTCAGTGCAGGTTTTAGGAGCTTCATGGTATGTATCATCGATTCAGCGCCAATACGAGTGTTGGAGAATAATTTGCAGAAGAGAGATGAACAGAACGCACTCACCATCTTGTAATCCTTCGTTTCTCGACTGTGCGAGCTTGGACAACCATGAACGACAAGTATGGTTCAGACGCACGAGAGTTCTCAGTGATTGCGATGCCCTCAATGATAAGAACCAATTTCAGTTTGGATTGTTTGCCGATGCTTTCACTGATCATGTCTCTTCATCGAGATTCTTCCAAAAATACTTTTACTGCCTCTGGTGGGGTTTGAAGAATCTAAGGTATAACCTTTTCGATTTAGTTTCGCCATATTAAATTTCAAATGCTATATAACCTTTTTCGATTTATCTATAAAGAGTTTATACAAATTCATTAATCTATTTAAGATGTGATTATTTATCTATAAATTAACTTAGAAAGACCCAAATTAAAAAAATAATTCAGATTAGTTTATATATATGAATTATATTCAACAATATAAAATCAATTTTAACTAACTAGCTAGCCATTTAGCATTGGTAGTGAGTTCTAACTTTTTGAAGATTCTGTAATTAGTTTTGAACCCTTTCTCGATGTGTAGTTCATATGGACAAAATCTTCAGACGAGCACGTATAGTGGTGAAACATTATTTTCAAGTTTCATCTGCATCGCGGGTCTAATTCTATTTGCGCATCTTATAGGTAACATGCAGGTAAGATAATAAAATTTCTGCTCTAGATATCACATGGAGGTAGACCTTCAAATAATATTGTCAAATTCTTTTTAAAATGTATAATGAATTTTCATTTATATTTTCGAAAAAAGAATTATCTGCAATCAACAACTGCGAGAGTTGAAGAGTGGAGACTGAAACAAAAGGATACAGAAGAGTGGATGAATCACCGGCAACTTCCACCAGAACTGCAACAACGTGTTCGTCGATTTGTTCAATATAAATGGCTTGCAACAAGAGGTGTAGACGAAGAATCCATTTTGCGCGCTTTGCCTTTGGACCTTCGACGCCAGATTCAGAGACATCTCTGTCTTGACATCGTTCGTCGGGTAAGTCTTCGTATTGCTTCAAAATGTATACATACACACCTTTAAACAATGAGTGAACACCTAAGCTGTAATCAAAATTTTGAAAAGGTCGGATATTTTAGTTCTTTACGAATTAAAAATATTCTGTTAGTCTTTAATTACTTTAACAAAAAATGTTTCTTTTTATTCTTACTATTATTTTATGCTATAAGATTAATATAAATTATGTATTATGAAGTTAGAGATAAACAATTGTTTTTTTTTTAATTAATGAATAACATATTTGATCCATATTATTTTGAATACTAATTTAAGTATTTACTGTTAAATCAATTATAAGACATCTCAAATTATTTATGCTCCAAATTTAACTGACTCAAGTCTTTTGTCTCATTTTACATTCAGTCTAACGTTAATACCTCACACACAAAAAAATTCAGGAGAAAGAATACTATTTTTTTTTCCTTTCAGTAACGTGTCAATTTTCAATTAGAGAAAGAGAAAATGGGACAAGTAAAGGGGAATAGATTATTTTAATTCAAGTGGGTTATTTTACTAATTTGACGATCAACATTTTACATATCGAACAATTATTGCTTAGAACTTTGTACTGAAATCTTTTATAGTACACATAATTATGTAGAGAAAAAGAGCGGGAAATATTTACAAAAAGTTAGTAATAGAGTTTTCTTACACACTTTTCTAAGACATTTTTTATTATTAGCTAAAATTTATTAAAAATTATAAAAATATTAAATTAGAAGTAAAAAAAGTGATATTAATGTAAGTTTTCAATAAAATTTAATTAGTATGTTAGAAAGTGTTTTGCTTTAAATTTATATAGCTGTCTTTCAGTAAAGTATTATCAATGAGGTCCAACAAATTAACATGGACATGGATCTCTAATTCATGTAGTATGCAGGTTCCGTTTTTTGGTCAAATGGATGACCAGCTCCTAGATGCTATATGTGAACGCCTTGTTTCATCCTTGAACACAAAAGACACATACATAGTCCGCGAAGGTGATCCAGTTAAAGAAATGCTTTTCATCATTAGAGGACAAGTGGAGAGCTCAACAACCGATGGTGGAAGATCAGGATTCTTCAACTCCATCACCCTAAGACCCGGTGACTTTTGTGGTGAAGAGTTGCTAACATGGGCATTGATGGCAACTTCAAGTCTTAACCTTCCATCTTCCACTAGAACAGTTAAGACGCTCACTGAAGTTGAAGCATTTGCACTAAGAGCTGAGGACCTCAAATTTGTGGCAAGTCAATTTAAGCGCCTCCACAGCAAAAAACTTCAACATGCTTTTAGGTACTATTCCCATCAGTGGAGGGCTTGGGGTGCTTGCTTTATACAAGCTGCTTGGAGGCGCCACCGCAAGAGAAAAATGGCAATGGAGTTGTTGGAAAAAGAGAACTTGTATTACACAAATGTGATGGAGATAGAAGAAGATGAGGAGGAAATTGGTGCTGGAGAGAGTTCAACTGGGGACAGTACAAGCTATGCCCAGAATCTTGGGGCTACGGTTTTGGCTTCCAAATTTGCTGCAAACACAAGAAAAGGGGCATTTAAGAAAGTTATGATTGCTGATGATAGAAGTTTGAAGATGCCCAAGATGTTCAAGCCAGCGGAACCTGATTTCTCAACATTTCATGAAGATTAGTTGGAGTATCTTAAGGACTGAATTAAGATTGGGCTCATCTAAGCCAATCTTGTTGGTTCCTTTCTCTTTGTATCTATCTAGTACATAAACAAAGGATTTAATTTCTCTCAATAGTTTTGAGTTGCAACGTGTAACATCAAGTAATTTATGTTGATGTTTGTAATTAGTAAATTGACTAACTAGATTTTTTGCCAGTAATTCAAAGTTTTATGTGATGGTGAAAGAAGTCCACCCATCTATCGAAATGTGAAAGCTTTTAGCGTATATAACAGATTCTTATAACCATTAAAATTTACATCATAGTATTCGTAATTATATTATTGTATATATAAACATATTCACAATCATCTAAAAGTATCTCCATTTAAATGTTCAAGAAATATTTTCACATAAATTGATGTGTTTAACCTCATGTTGTCTCTTGAATAATTTAGGGTATGTTATAACTCATGCAAAATAACCATTGATAACCTATACCAAAGGAAATTTTTTCTTCTTTAATGAGGGTTATGTACATACTTTTGGTAAGTTTTTTTTTTTTTTTCCTTTGGTGAGAGTAGTTTATCCCTCTTTAGTGAGTCTTGTCCTCCCCTTTTCTTCTTTTTCTTTTTTTCTTTTAGTTTTTTTCCTTTCTTCTTATACTTCCTCCTCTTGTCTATTTTTTTATCATTGTCTTTGACTCTTTTTGTCTCCACACACTTTCTTTTAGTAATTTCTTTTCCTTTTTTGTTTCAATTTCTATTCATCTTTTTCTGATTGTTTATGTTTCACTTTTGTCATCTCTTTGTTTCTTCTTTCTATTGTTGTATTTCTTTTTTCCACTAGTCTTAATATTTGTCTCTCTTTCACTCCCATTTTTCCTTCTTTTGTCTCGGGATTTTTTTACTTGTTTATACTTTATGTTCTTGAGCAGCAAATCACATCTTGATATTAGGAGTCTAATTCATATTTCGACTGCATTGTTTTGGCTAAGAAAAAAAGAAAAACAATGTATAAAAGAAAATGAACTCTACTCCACTACCACTTCCAAGTGGATGGTATTTAGCTATAGGCTATAGCTGACTCTAGCTCTTAAGGTGCTTCAAAATGATAATAATAAACAAGCACTAAAGTTTTTCTATTCAAAAAGATTTTCAATCATATTTCAATAATAAATATTAAGTAATTTATGCACACTTTCATTACAATAATGCCAAATTTTAATGACTTTCTAATTATTAATCACAATTAAAGGAAGATGACAAGATTACATTTTATAATAACAATAATGTATCATTAATAACTATCATCTTACACATTTCATAGCAATGTCTTGTTTCGACATATTTAAGATATTTTTGCTTTAAAACTTGCATAGTATTACATATTTTAGACTTGTAATTACAAAGGAAAGAAAAATCATAAAATTCAATAGACTTGTAATTGCCTATTAAAATTATGTTAAAATGGTGCACCACTTGCTTCAATTGCTTACTCATTCAACACTCTAATTGATGTTATACATGATAAATCTGTAATTTGATATGTTTTTGTAATTTATTTTTATGAACTTAATCCTTATTTGAATGAGTTTTGCACTAATTATTTCATTGATTATTGCAGTTTAGCATGTTAAGAGTTTTGATAGATTATTAAGACATTTTTAGCATGAATGAAAAATAGTACTAATATATTGGTATGCATGGTTTACTAAGCCAGAAATGAACTTTTGTAACACTAACTTAGACAGCAGTTAGTAAAAACTATTTTATAACTATATATTTAAAGAGCGGTTCTCTATTAACCACTCTCAGATCTATACTTTTGAGAGCAATTTTTTGTTAACCGCTCTCAGAATTATACTTCTAAGAGATTCTCTATTAACCATTCTTTAAAGTTACACATTAGAGAGTGGTTAATAAAGAACTGCTCTATAATGTTATTAAAGTCATTTATAAATGAAATACGCTCAGCGCATTTCTTCTTCTTAGCTAGCAAAGCCGATCTCTTTTACTGTAAGTTTCTTCTCTGCTCTCTTATGTTCTCTTTATCTTCTTTGTTAGTCTGTTTTCTTTGTTTTCTCTCGCTAACAAATTAATTTTTTTCCACATTTGTAGGTACTTCTTCATTCTCTGTTAGTCTGCTTTCTTCATCTTTTCTACACTAACAAATTGGTTTTTTTTTCACACATGTAAGTACTTCTTCATTCTCTCTTTCTTTCTTCTTTTCTTTGTTAATGATGAATCATCCATTCTCCTTTTTTTCTTTTTTTCTCTATTAATGTTAAAAATCATCCTATTAATTTGCTCTATTTTTTCTCTGCTTACTTGTCTTTGGTTCAAGTAGATGTGGACTGTTTGGTTAACACCAAATGTATAAACTCAAGATTCACTTTTGATTTGTGATAAAAATGAAGAAAACTCACAAAGAAATCAATTCTACATTTTGATTTAAACGTAATAATAAATTAATTTTATTTTACAACAGAAAACTAAAAAAAAAAAATCAATTTCAAATTTTAGATTCGCGGTCTACATATATACTTTGTAATCGTAACCTATACTTTAGAGAGCAATTTCGCGTGGAACCACTTTCAAATGTTAACATTTGAGAGCAGTTGTTTAACCGCTCTCTTAAATATAACATATCATATAGAGTAAGATTTTAGAGTAGGTCTAAACGCTCTCTAATTCAAAATAGAACCGTTCTCAGATCTCTGTTCTTGCGTAGTGGTTGTGCTTCTCTTCTGCTGCAACTAACTTGGACATTTTGTAAAGACTCGTGAAGAGAGAATTCGAATTTTAAAATTGGCAATCCATATTTTTCCCTCTTGATACATTATATCTTTATTAGAGATAAAACATATCTCATAGAGGTAACAATCATCATTTTTTAGATTTTAAACCCTATTTAAAGAACCTTAAAGGCTATGACTTGGACATCTTAGTTTTGGCTAGCTACTGACAACTATTAGAGCTTTGAGAGTGTGTCTTGGGATTAAGAAATTTTTTCGTCTCTTCTTCATTGGAAACTTCTCTAGTTTGCATTACTTTTTCAATAACTATGAATTGGTTTATTATTATTTTGGTTTTCTATTATATTATGTCTAGTTAAATCTATAGCTAGTGTTATAGTGGATCCTTTACATGACTCTATAATTTTTTTTTATTAATGATAATTTCATATTTCCTTTCTTAATTAGTATTTATCCTATTACACTATATTTGTATGCTCAAAATTGACAATTTTTAAACATATTATAATTATTTATATTTTAGGCGATTGTATCATATATAGTTAATAGATCTTTTATCTTGCATGATTAATGGAGGTAATAGCTTAGGAAAAAAAAGACAATTAACATTACATAACCATTGGGTGTTAATAGATCTAGTATGAGTAGTTGGCAATTATAAGAGAACCAGAATTAGAATTAATCTAAAAGTGAAAAGAAATGTAAAAGTGAAACCATATGCCTTAGATTCTTCTTAATTAGTTTATTGTTAGAGGTTGTGTTATTTTTTGTTTTTAATTACTTTTATATTTAATTCCTTATTTTATTTAATTTTACATCTTTTATGTTTAAACAATTGAATTAAGACATTTTTTATACTTAAAAATAATTCTTGCTGTGAGAAAATATTTAAGAAACTTATTTTAAAACTCCTTTATTACTTTTTTATAAGTACACTTATCCATGAATAATACATTGTCTTTATTGAATACAAATATGAAGTTAACATACATACAAAGATGATGTCTCCATTGATATTTTCTTATTTTGCCTATTTGAGATTAACTTTCTTTACATGATTAAAAAATGACCTATCAACCATGATTAAGAATAAAAGAAAAACGAATAAGATGAGAAGATAAACATGATGTTTTAAGAAATTCTTATCATTAATTAAAGTCTACAAATTTAAGAGCGCATTTATGAAAAAAGTTGTAAACTATCTTGATCCAACCCACCAGCATTAGATAAAAAGCACAAAACCTTACTACTATAAAACCAAACACCAAACTTTTCAATTTTGAAAACTTCAAAATTATATAGAAGACTTAATAATAAATCTTAAGTAATTTTTCTAATTACTACTTGTAAACTATTTAAATCCAACCCACCGGCATTCAACAAAAAGCACAAAACCTTAGTACTATAAAACTAAACACCAAACTTTTTCAATTTTAGAAACTTTATAATTACATAAAAGACTTAATAATAAACCTCAAGTAACTTTTCTAATTACTACATGCTTTTACTAGGATTATCTTTACATTTCTCAATTCAATTTAATTCAATTATATTAATTAAAATAAATATCAATAATTTAATTAATTGTTATCACTACATAATCCTAATAATCATAGAAAGCAACAAGATAAATAAAAGTATTAAAAAAATATTAGATTTATTAAATTTAATTAACTGATTAAAAGTCTAAGCAATAGATTGATCTTCTTAACTTCTAAACTCAAATTGCCTTAACTAACTAGCCTATTAATGACACAATCGTCTATTAATTGATTAAATAAGATTTACTCTTGAGTAGTCAATTCAAGAATAGTAATAATACCAAAAAGACAATTATAATTAACAAATAATATTAATATCATAAAAACTAGGGTTCAAGAAGGATTACATCACAAGAATCTATAATAACCTCATAGCAAGAGGTATTTAGTTACATATATTTATAAAGATAGAAGTAAATGAAACTAAACATAAAACATCTATAATATGGATGTTTCTCACTAGTTTTATTGTTAATTTTCACATTTAAACATAAGAGAGAACCACTGTGCATTTTTGGAATATTTTGAGGAAAAATTTTGATAATTTTAGCTGGCCCTGCACTTAAGCACGACCGTGCTTCTTACTTGACATGAGCGTGCTTCATTGTCTAGCACGGTCCTGCTGGGTGAGGGTGCACAGTCGTACTGAATGGATCTGCGATTAAAAGTTTGAATTCAAATTCAAACCTTGTGGAAGTTTTGATCCAAATTTAGATTTGAAATTCAAATAAAGATTTTGGTTAAAATTTTGATTATGGACAAAACCGATTCAAAAAGATAAAACTCAACCACTTAAGATCAAGTGACAATTAGAGAACTCATTACACACCTCTATATAAAGAGACCTTATGCTCCTGGAGACACCTTTTCAACACACCTTCTTCCTCCTTTTAGTTTTAACTTATTTCACCATTAAGAGTTATTGGAAAAAGACAACGAACTTTACTTTGGAGTCCAAACGTGTGATTAAGTACCCCTTGAAGAACAAGAACTATTTTCATCTTTTTCCCTTTTGTATTTATTTTGTTTGAATTTTCCTTTATATTTATGGATTTGTTCTTCATGCTTTTCATTGTTTGTTTTATCATGAGTAGCTAAATCCATAGTTAGGGCTATGGTGGATCCTATTGTATACTCTATGTGATTCTTATGTTTAATAATTATGTTGGTTTATTTTTATGTTTAGTTTTTATCCAATTGAATTGAACTTTGCATGTTAAGAACTGTTCACTCTTAGCATCTCATAGTTAGTCATATCGTAGGCGACCGTACCACATGTAATTAATAGAACTATATAATAAAATCAGACAAAGGGTTAGGCAGATCAAATTTAATTTTTTTTTCTTCTAATCATTATTAAATTAACAAATTCATAAGCTTTTTATGATTTCTCTACCTTTTGTCTTGCACGATTATTGAAGTAATCGCCTAGAGAAAAAAATATTAACATTGCATGATCATTAGATCTTAATAGAATAAGTATTGATGGTTGATAAACATTAAATGAACTAATATTGGGATCAAACTAAAGAAAGCATAGAAAGGTGTAATAGGTGAAATCATGTATCCTAAGCTCTTCTCATACAATTTCTGTCAAAGACCTCTTTCACGCCTTTTAAATTACTTTTTGGATTTAAACTCTTTTTATTTTAATTCACTATGCACCTTTTTTGGTTTAAATAATTAAATCGAGATATTTTTGGAACTTGAAAATAATCTCTATAGGACAATACTTGGAAATTTAATTTTAAAAATCCTTTATTACTTTTTAATGGGTACACTTGCCTATGAACAAAAACTCATGACTAATCTACCTACCAAAAGCATAATTTTGCAATGGAGAATGAGAAAAGGAGAAGAACTTAGGATGAAATGTTTAGGATTTTAGTGTGTAGAGAAAATGATAGGTCCAATGTGTTTTTATCAATGAGATTGAGCACTCTTTTTATAAATTGTAAAATCCTAAAGATAAAAATAAGCCTCCAAAATTCTTTAATTTTATGCTTTTTTATGTTAATTCTTACAATTAAAAAAATAAAAATCCTAATTTGTTCTTTAACAAAAAGTTTTTAATATAAGTTTAATTCTTGTTATTGTAAGTTTTTTTTTTTTCTATATCCACTAATTAGAATATTATAATAAAAAGGTAGGATCTTTTTACGGTAATGTAAATTTAAAAACTCTTGCACTCGATTTGAGTATTTCATTTAACTTACATTTAGATTACAATTTATTATTTCACTGACTGTTAGGTATAAGTTGAATGAAAGACTTAGATTGAATATAAGAGTTTTTAAACTTACGTTACCATAAAAAGATCTTTCTCCTTTTATAAATATAATTTCTATATTAATTATTATAAAATTAATAATTTTGGCTAATATAATAATTTATAATTAGATAATAGTATAATTTTTTTATATTATTAATGTATTTAAATTAAATTATTTTTTCTGTGACTGTGAATATGTTTTGAAAAATTAGACTTAAATACGTTTAGTCCTTATATTTTTTAAGATTTTGATTTTAATTTAATTTTTTTAATTTTTATGTTTTAAACTTTTGGCTCTCCTAATAAACAATAAAATATTGTCATACGATTTAAAAGATTAATACGTATTTAGTTTACGGCGTTATTACAACAGTTAAAAATTGATGAAATTTAAAAAAAAAATAAAGAAGATAAAATTAAATTCTCATAAAAATATAAAATAAATTATATTTAAATAGTAAAACTAATAATAATCTATGTACCTAAAAGAAAAGAAAAGAAAAGAAAGAACATAAAAGTAGAAAAGGCATCTCAACAGTTGATGCTCTGGAATCTAAGATCAACAACAGCAGACAAGTCTATTATCTTATCTTAAGCCTAAGCAGTAAGGATAATAGACGTGTGTACCAATGGAGATAATTACTTATGTAATTTTGATTGTAAACATTTAAACATTAATAATCTCTATTTAATACATTTTTTTTTAATTGCTTCACGTTATTTATTATGTTTATCATTTTTCTGTCTGGATTCTTTTATATCAAGTATAATTTTCCTATTACCTTACCTTTAAGGTACATATATCTTAATAAAAGAAATCCACGAAATGACACATCAAATGATAGGTGCACAGAGCACGGTCTTTTTGTCTGTTCTGTTTGGTGTTTATTTTTTTTCTTTTTTCTGCAGAAGGGACAGTTGACGGTTACAGACAAAACTTCCAACCCTTCATTCGTATCTTGTGAAGCACCTCATCAGCTAGAGAAGAAACAGGTAACACACCCTTCGGAGATATTTGCATTGGTCTTGCTCATGGCAACTCGCAAACTTTCCTGGCTCCTCTCTCGCTCTCTCTCTGCTTCCCCTTCTTCTCAAGCTGCTTCTCTTCTTCACTCACTAGGTAGCCAACTTACTCTCTTATTGCTCACTGTTCATCTTTTTTTATGTTGGCTTCTTTAGAGTGATGGATGTACTCTAGTGGTTTAGCTAGATTGCCAAGTGGTTCTTAGTTTGAATGTTTTCTGCTTCTCTGCTCTCATCAAAGCACAGAACACGTACTTGACTAGCTAATCCACATGTAGTTAGATAATATTAGTGTATCAAGTATCATCCAAGTTATTTTTTCTAATCACTTCAAGATTTGATTTTTTTAGACCCAACCAAATTCTTTTAGACTATCTTCCTTTAGTCTATTGGTTATCGTCCACTTCTTGTAATTTCTTCCTTTTTCTCGATTTTTTTTTTATAATTTGTCTTGACTTGTGTATGTGTTGTTTTTAATTTTTTTTCTCCTCAGCAGAATGAGTGCTTTGTTGTGACTGAAAACTAGATTATCAGTTATGACTAATATGAATGCTATTTTCAATTCATTGCATAGAAGTTTCACATGGTTTTTGTTCCCACAGGGAGAAACTATGGCAAATTGGGGAACGTAAACAGATTCAGCACTGTAGCAGCAGTTGAGGAATTGATCTCTCCACAAGTGCCAATAACATACACAAAGCATCTTATAAATGGGCAATTTGTGGATGCTGCATCAGGTTTCTCGAGTTTGAACAAGGGTTGTTTTACTTTGCCTTATAACAAAAACTCTATATGGTGCCTCATTAGGCACTTGTTTTGATCACAGGGAAAACTTTTCCGACTTACGACCCGCGCACAGGAGAAGTTATTGCTCATGTCTCTGAAGGTGATGCTGAAGATATCAACCGTGCGGTATCAGCAGCTCGCAAAGCCTTTGATGAAGGACCATGGCCAAAAATGAATGCTTATGTAGGCTTTTAATTTTCCTGTGTCAAAACCCTTTCTTGCATGAGCTGGAACTAGCGTATAATGATGATTTGTCAACAACTTTTCAGGAAAGATGTAAGATAATTCTTCGCTTTGCTGATTTGGTTGAGAAACACAGTGAGGAGCTTGCAGCTCTGGAGACATGGAATTGTGGAAAGCCTTATGAACAGTCTGCCAAGTCTGAATTACCTTTATTTGTGCGTTTGTTTCGTTACTATGCTGGTAGGTTCTGTAACACCAATTAGATGTGTGTGTTTGTTATCCATACCTTTTTTTTTTCAAAGCAACTTGCTGATAAATTCCAAAACTTTCGGTTTTTTTTTCCAGGTTGGGCAGATAAAATACATGGTTTGACAGTGCCTGCTGATGGAAATTATCATGTAGAGACATTGCATGAACCAATTGGTGTTGCAGGACAAATCATACCTTGGAACTTCCCTCTCATCATGTTTGCTTGGAAAGTTGGACCAGCTCTAGCTTGTGGTAATACTGTCATCCTCAAGACTGCTGAACAAACACCTTTAACAGCTCTCTATGTGGCAAAACTATTTCATGAGGTGAGCTCTTATGCTTTGCTCTATGACCTCTATGAGGGGCCAAAAGCTCTCTCCCCTTCCCTATTACACAATTGGACACAGACTGATAATCATTAAGACATCAGCTATGTACTAAATAGTTTAGTCCATTATTGCATCTCTGTCCCCTAAAAATATTGCTCTGGTGATACTTCATTCCAATTTTACAATTTTACATGTTTATAGAAAAATAAACTGTTACATAAAATTACATGGAATTCTGCCTATTTGGTGCAGCTTATGGACTTAAGCCAGTAACGAATAAAAAGTGTGTTCAAGGGATCTTAATATTTTATAGTTGAACATTGCTGTATAATTTGTCATGACATTGTCTTTTTCTTCTAGCACTGCATTTTGGACTGTTGTAGTTGCGTAAAAATGCAGAGAGTATGTTTCGATAGAGGATGCCTATTGTCAAACATATACCACTGCCTATGATAAGTATACCTCAATTTTGCTACATGCTGATGCTGTACTTCAGATTCTGAAGGAATATTTCTTACATTTGTGTTTTACACGGGATTTAACTTAATGTGCACCCTTTTTGGCAGGCTGGTCTTCCACCAGGTGTTTTGAATATAGTTTCTGGCTATGGTCCAACTGCTGGTGCAGCTCTTGCAAGTCATATGGATGTGGACAAGGTATTTAGCAACTAAAATTAAAGGGTACTTTCATATTGCAAGCACAATTAGTCTGAAACCCAACATGTGGTACTTTCAAGTTTCATTAATGGAGCGTTGTACTTATTTCTGTCCTGTTGTATATGATATATGGTTATTTTGGTGTCTGAAAAATTCTTCAACCCCAATTTCAAGGATATCAAAACGAATGTCTCAACATTAATCAATGGGAAATCCAAGACTGCTTATTCTCCTTTTCTTTCCATCCTATGATCCATAATTTGATCATAAATACATTGCTTAAATTCTTGAACGAGATTACACTTTTTCACCAACAATATTTGTTTTCTTGTGCATATGGTTAATATGTTGAGACAATAAAGCAATTATGCTCCCCGTTTCTTCTTCTAACAATCCAGAGCCTCCTAAATCCTATTAGCTTAACATGTTTGGACAGGTCTTCAAGTGGTTCTTGACATTATCAAACATAGATATTATGGCATCTTATGCAAAAAAGTGCTAACATGCATGTGCTTAGCCTTACCGTTTACATTACATAATCATATTGTGGAAAAATTCAATCATTTATGTTAAAATGTCCTGTAATAATTTATCTCTTCTTGTTTTCTCGCAGCTAGCATTTACTGGATCCACTGAGACTGGAAAAATTGTACTTGAATTGGCCGCAAGAAGCAACCTGAAGCCTGTTACACTGGAACTTGGAGGAAAATCACCTTTCATTGTATGTGACGATGCTGATGTTAACAAGGCTGTGGAACTTGCACATTTTGCTCTATTCTTTAATCAGGTATCTTTAACCAATTCCCATCATTTACTTGAATTTGCATCTGCATATGCAATGTGTTGAAGGTACTTTCACTTATGTTGGATTCTTTCTAGGGGCAATGTTGCTGTGCTGGGTCTCGTACCTTTGTACAAGAGCGTATCTATGATGAGTTCTTGGAGAAATCGAAGGCCCGTGCTTTGAATCGTGTTGTTGGTGATCCCTTCAAAAAAGGGGTTGAACAAGGCCCTCAGGTACTTTTTCTCTTCATTGCAGGCAACATATTGTTGAGTGTGTTCTTTTATATTTTGTTTGCTCCTTTTACAACTACCATTGAAAAATTAACGTTTGACAGAACAGCTCATACTTCGTTGTTATGTACATTTTTTTTTACTCTGCTGTAAAAAACTAACACTGTTTCTTGGTCCTTGGGGAAAATCCCAGATTGACGTGGAACAATTTCAGAAAGTCCTTAGGTACATAAAGTCTGGTATTGACAGTAAAGCTACTCTTGAATGTGGGGGTGACAGAATTGGCTTAAAGGGTTTCTTTGTTCAGCCTACTGTCTTCTCAAATGTTATGGTAATGACTAATTTGCTAAATGTAGTTGACAGATTTTCAATACCTTGATGCATTTTCTAACTCGTGCTACATTCAGGATGATATGTTGATAGCAAAAGATGAAATCTTTGGCCCAGTTCAAACCATCTTGAAATTCAAGTGAGTGAAATTCCAATTCTCACTTTCTCGTTTGTGAACTTTCCATATGGATACAACGTTGTTCCAAAGTGAGAGTGTCTGGCATATTTTAGATGTCTTTTGGATGGAACCATTCATGGATGGCATATTTTGAAGATTCATGCTAACTAATGTCTAAGTACTCGCTAAGAAAATAATAAATAAAAATATTAAAACTTAAGATAGAATGTATTAAAAATTATAATAAACATATATTAATATTCTTTTTAATTTTTTTAATTATTTAACGAAAAATGTTGTCACACAATCATGAAGAACTATGAAGTTTTTCAATTAGGTTTCTCTTAGTTAGCCCATGGAGTAAATGACTCCCATTTTTGGTATACTAATGAGATACTGTATTGAAATTTTCATTAATGTGTTGAAAATCTGAACTTACACACCCTTTTCAATTTAACATTCCAAATTTATTGAAATAATTTTTGCTAAATACTAGGGACATTGACGAAGTAATTCGAAGGGCAAACGCAACGCATTATGGTCTAGCAGCTGGTGTTTTCACGAAGAACGTGCACACAGCCAACACTTTGATGCGAGCACTGAAGGTTGGAACTGTGTGGATTAATTGCTTCGATGTTTTTGATGCTGCAATTCCCTTTGGAGGGTACAAGATGAGTGGCATTGGCAGAGAAAAAGGAATCTACAGTCTCAACAATTACCTGCAGGTCAAAGCCGTGGTTTCACCTCTGAACAATCCTGCATGGCTATGAATTCCTCAAACTGCTATGTCGTCTTGTTCTGTATGGTTGGATGATATATAATAACGACATTTTCAGGACTCAAGAAACCTTTTTTAAATTATGACTCATATTCTGCGTGGCTATCAACATTTTCCTCTCATGCAATGCCATAAATAACGTGATGTTAGATTCTAGGACAAAACCTGATTTGATAAGTAAACATCATTAGTCTGTTAAACGTTACAATTTATAATTTTGCGCTGAATTTACATTTACAGGTTTATTTAACGCGTTTTCAAATAAACACACGTTATACGGGATGGAATGATGCTTGTGTATTTTATCTATTTTCGTCAGTTAAATTTCTCAAACACAATTTGTTTGTACTCTGGAATGACACTGTTACTGTATGATCAAATTATTTGTACCATTGACTGCGTGGAAAAGTAATCAGTATAAATTAATTAAGATGAAAATTTTTGCTAATCATCAATTGCTTCCTTAACATGAACGTCATGTAAAGTGGAAAAAGCAGGAAACAGAGACCGAATAGATGACATTGGATTCTGATAACGATAAGTTGGGTTTCATCACCGGATTCGGTGAAATACTAAAAATGCTACGTGTCGGGACATAGAATTTGAAGGATAATTACGAGGAAGAAATGGGGCGACAAACAAGATTTGTTTTCTTCTTTTGTTGGGTACATTTGTTTCTGAAATAAATCCTTGTGCTAATGCTTATTGCGACAAGGGTTAAGTTGGATTCTCTTTTCTATCATGGCAGCACCCAGATTTTCCTCGTTGCTTAATCGCTCTCTATCTTCCTCCTTGCCTCTTCCTTGCTTTGCTTCTCGGATTCAGAGTTTAGGTGAGCCTAATAATAAAAGTTAACTACTTTTTCACCTGTGTATTTAAATGCTTAGCTTTTCTTATCCATTTATCATTGATAACTCCTCTAGATTAACTTTCTGTGGCTTTTGTGGATGTTACATTTGCGGGTATTTTATTAGTTTCCAGTTAACATTTCTAAGATGCTGTTTAGATTATATGATCAAAAAGGAAAATTTTCTCCTGGGTGATGTTTTCATATTTATTTCCCAGTGCATATAGGTACGATAAATCTTCATTATTATGAGGCTTTTTATTAAAGGCATATAAATTAATCTAAATCACACATTTTTATTACAATGTATATTTTTTAGAATGGATATTATTTAAAGAACTGATAAATGATATTTTTTTCTTAAAAATCATGTTGAAATGCATTAGAAATTACACAGGCAAATATCATTTTACATTTTCTAATAAAAAAATGTCTACTCTTAATTCTTTAATCAGTGTCTTAACATTTTCCTACTTTTTATTAAAAAATGCAAAATTTAATTTTGTCACTTTAAAACAAATAAACCCATAAAAATTTTGAAACTATAAGGAAAATGATAGGGCAGAATATGTAAGGATAATGGAAGAGCAATGGTATGCCAATGAAAGTTATGCATATTGGTCCTATCAAATGTAACACATTCTTCTGTTTTCTTGAAGGTAGAGACAGTAAATGGAGGAAAAATATCAACAGCTTCAGCAGCGTCGCAGAAATTGATGAATTAGTTACACCATCTGTGGAAATAAGATACACCAATAATCTAATAAACGGAGAATTTGTGGATGCTGCTTCAGGTTCATATGGTTTAACACTTCTAATGTCATGTAACGTTAGGTAGGTGACAAATTGTGAAACCTCACGGGGAACATTTGTTGGTTACTAGGAAAAACTTTTCCTACATATGACCCACGAACTGGGGAAGTGATTGCTAATGTCGCTGAAGGTGATCAAGAGGATATCTATCGTGCAGTATCTGCAGCTCGAAAAGCTTTTGACGAGGGACCATGGCCAAAGATGACCCCTTATGTATGAACTCCCTCTATACTTCATACTCCTACATACATCACATCTATGCTTTTGAATTACACTTACAGTTCTAATCCAATTGTTTAAATAAAAATGTTAACCTTAATCTTATTTTACACAATTAAAATGGCATAATTTTATTATAAAAAAGTATTCAATGTGTTTTTTATCTGATAAATAATTTTTTAATACAATTTTATTACTTTTAAATACATAAAATTAATTCTAAAAATCAATGTTAACAAAAATGATTATTAAAATTATAAAAATTAAACTACGAACACCGCCATAGATGCTATTACAAAGGCCTCCTAACCGCAATTTAATATGCTAACATACCATCTATTCCTTTATTGCAAATACATTTATTTTAATCAACTAATATTATTTTTATGTCTGTGAACACTGCAGGAAAGATCACGAATACTATTGCGCATTGCTGATTTGGTTGAGAAACACATTGAGGAGCTTGCAACACTTGAAACATGGAATAACGGCAAGCTTTATGAACAGGCAGCCAAAATTGAATTACCCATGGTTGTACGTCTGCTTCATTACTATGCTGGTGAGGGAGGCCCGTGAGACCACCATCAAATGTTTATTTATTATCCATATTTTTAGTGTGTTTAAAACTTATATATGATAAATTTTTATCAAAAATCATAGAATTTGAATAGATGAATAACATTATATCTTATAATTTCTAATAAAATCGGCGCATTAGAAAAATAGTTATTCATCTATTCTGGAATACATTGTTTTTCTGATGATTTCCCTGCCATAATTGATTCAGGTTGGGCAGATAAAATACATGGTCTCACGGTTCCAGCTGATGGGAATTATCATGCACAAATATTGCATGAACCAATTAGGGTTGCAGGGCAAATCATACCTTGGAACTTTCCTCTATTATTGTTTACTTGGAAAGTTGGGCCTGCGCTAGCTTGTGGTAACACTCTAGTAGTAAAGACAGCTGAGCAAACACCTTTGACTGCTTTATTTGCAGCACAGCTATTTCACGAGGTACTCTTCTTAATGGGTGTATCCAATTTAAGGAACATTGATAATGTTGCATTGGATTGTAATCCATCTAAAATGAATATTTCTGTGACAGGCCGGTCTTCCCCCTGGGGTTCTAAATGTGGTGTCTGGTTTTGGTCCAACTGCTGGTTCTGGTCCAACTGCTGGTTCTGCTCTTGCTAGTCATATGAATGTGGACAAGGTGGTAATCGTTTAAATTATAAATACATGTTTGATAAATGCTTTCTATACTTGATTCTACATTGTAATTCATGAATGATAATTGAGAGTTTTAAGCTATTCATTGAGAAAATTTACTATTATTAATTTTATTTTATTCATATTTCAGGAAAAAAGATCAAGAAGTGAAAGCCTTAAAGATGTCAAGAATTGAAGAAAAAGAAACCAGAGATATACACGGGCAAGTACATGCCCGTGTATATGAGCGTGTATCTTACTGGTCGCGTCAATTGAAGTGTATCATCAAGACCAGAGATGTACACGGCCAGATACATAGCCGTGTACATGAGCGTGTACTTTTATGGAAAGCTTTGAAAGGCGTCTATTAGAAAACAGAGATGTACACGGCCAAGTACATGACCGTGTACTTGGGCGTGTACTTTTACGCGCGTCAGAAATTTAACTTTTGCGAGAAAATTAACCCTAGGATAATTTCTATAAAAGGAGAACTGAACTCAGAGACGGAAGAGGAGGAGGTTTTTGGAAACGAAAGACTCAGAGACGGCAAGAGGATGGGATTAAGCATTTTATTTCATCTCTTTTGTAATTTTAATTTGAAGATGTTTAGGTTCTAATTTTCCTTTGAGTATCTAGACATAATGAATCCTAATTGACTAAATTTTCTGGAATTCTTCTAATGCTATTTCATGTTCTTTACTCTTGGGTTTAATTGAGTAGTATCAATTTTCTCTATCTTGTTTTCTTGTTTGAATTTGAGTAAAATTCCTGCATGAAATTAACATTGCTCAATTAAAAAGACTTGAATGTATTTCTAGAGATAGAAAGACGTGAGTTTTCTGTATTAGGATTAACCCTAATTATGGAATTCATAATGAACTTAATGCAACCTAGGAGTATTAATTAAGGAAGAGATTCCGATTAATCAACTGAGGGTTAGGAATCATTATCCTTGAGAAAGGTATTGATTTAATTTGGAATTTCCTACAGCGATAAGGGTTTGGAACTAAGTAGTTGAAGAAGAATTTCAGTTATTTGGACACTTAGGGGGATTTACAGTCTAGATACTTGCCTTTTTACATTGAATACCTATATTCATAATTTTCTATAATTTATTTTCACTAGAATATCTGTTCCTTTTAATTTATTATTCTTTTACTTTTAGCAATTTCATCAACAAGGTTTATTTTTCATATTTATTAACAATTACGCAATTAAGGAAAAGTTTCTTAATAACAGTCCCTGTGGATACGACACTTGGTACTTTAATTTTAATTTTAATAATATTACTTCGACAACGGGTACACTTGCCCAGTGATCAGATTTTTACACACCAAGTTTTTGGCGCCGTTGCCGGGGACTGTTTAATTAGGATTCCCTTTATTACGTATTTACTAATTTTATTTATTTCTTTAGTCTTGAATTAACTATCTATTTTGCTTTCATTCTTTTTAGGAGCTGATTTTTCTGGTGTATGATCAGAACCCGTTCTACTGCACTGTCTGAAGAACTATTTGAATTTGACCCAGAGATCGAAATAACTTTACGAAAAATTCGGAAAGAGAGGCGACTGCTAGTACAGAAGGAAAACGCACAAACACACATGGAAGGAATGGCAAACAATGAAGATCAACCAAGGACCATGTCCGATTATGCTCGTCCATCATTAACAGGGACAGAGTCTAGCATTGTTCGTCCGGATGTGCAAGGAAATTTTGAAATAAAGCCCAATATTATTCAGATGGTCCAGCAGTTTGTTCAATTTGATGGGTTGCAAGATGAAGACCCAAACGCTCACATCGCTAATTTTCTGGAGATCTGTGATACTTTCAAGATTAATGGAGCTACTGATGATGCAATCCGCTTGAGGTTATTCCCATTTTCTCTCAGGAGCAGAGCAAAGCAATGGTTGAACTCTCTCCCGCGAGGATCTATCACTTCATGGGAGGCTATGGCAGAAAAATTCTTGGCAAAATATTTTCCTCCCGCTAAAACTGCCAAGATGAGGAATGATATCTCTTCCTTCTACCAGTTAGAGACAGAGACGTTATACGATACGTGGGAGAGGTTCAAGGAATTGTTGCGGAAATGCCCACATCATGGGATTCCGGACTGGCTTCAAGTGCAGACCTTCTACAATGGATTAAACCCAGCCACAAGACAAATGATAGATGCTGCAGCTGGGGGCACTTTGAATAGCAAGACACCAAGGGCTGCACAAGAACTGTTTGAAGAAATGGCAATGAACAGCTATCAGTGGAGCTCCACTCGATCCAAACCTGCAAAATCGGCGGGGA